AAACCTCACTACCAGCTCCCTCATAGAACATTTCACACCCACCTCAAGGCAGAATGGAACAGAATAACATCTCTAAATGAGGACAGCTTGGTAGACCCAGGTTCCCACCAGCTGGTGAAGAATGGAATAGACTCAGGCAAGTCACTTTCTCTGAGCCTCATCTACTCCATGAATGTGTAGCCAGGTTGAGTGGTACATGCCTATAATACCAGCTACTTGGGAGGCTGAGGCAGGAGGGTGGCTAGTTTGAAATCAACCTGGACAACTTAATGAGACCCCACCTCTAAATAAAAGATAAAAAGAACAAGATATGAGGGGCTGGAGTTGTGGCTCAGTGGTAGAGCCACTGGCACATGAGAGGCTCTGGAATTGATCCTCAGCACCACATAAAAATAAATAAATAAAATAAAGTTATTGTGTCCATATATAACTTTAAAAAATTAATTTTTTTAAAGAGGACAGGATATGTAGCCCAGTGGTAGAGCAACCCTGAATTCAATTCCCAGTACCGGGGGTGGGGGTGGGGGGAAATAGCACCAAGGGCTGGAGGTGTATCTCAGTGGTACACCCTGTGTGAGCCCCTGGGTTGCATCGCAGTATATAAAGGAAGGGAAGAATATGCATTATATCCTTATAGGGTTGCTGGGGATAAGATGCACCTAGCAGGTCACTGTGCAGAGTAATAAATGGCAGCAGAAAACAAGTCTTACACTCTTCTCCACCAGCCTTTCTTTCTGTGATATTGTTTTACCTCCATGCCCCTTCTGTCCTACAGAAGGCAAATTTACTTCTGGACGTGGGCAACCAGCGAAAGGTTGCCACTGGCAGGGCTTTCAGAAACTGCTGCCTGTTGCCTAGGAAACTGCCCAGCTCCTGGTTCCCTGGGGTTCCAGCGGTTGATGTGTTCGGGCGCCATCTGCTGGATGCAGTGCCTCACTGTTTCTGAGCACCCAGAGCCAGGAATCCCATGGCCTGGAAGCAGGGAATACTCCTCTAACTGCACCCACCTCTCCCTGACATCTCCATAGAAAAGCTCTTTGCTCCTTTGCCACTATATTTACCCAGAGACTAGAAGCATGAAAAGGACTTTGACACTTAGACAACAGGGAGGGTGAGAGCCATGTCCTTCTCCACAGAGGAAGATAGGGGAGTGGGGTCCCAAGGAAGTCCCTCCCCTTAACTGATTTCCCAAAGCTCAGAATCCGGAGGGTAGATGTGTATTTTGCTTTCCACTAACCCACTCCCATAGGAAGTCCCTGAGGGACCTTACTGGGACAAATGGAGTCACAGTAAGGTCCTTTCTAATGTCCTCTCCTATTCCCCCTCTTCCCAGCCACTCAATTCCTAGTGCCCTAGTCCCAACTTTCTTCTTCTGTCTGAGGAGGACCTTCCTTACCCACAACAACAGTTGTCAGACAACCCACTAGGAACCTCAGATCATCATGCCCCTGAAAAAGAAAGAGAAGCAGGCAGACGCTGGCTCTGGAGACCAGGACTTCTGAATTGATTCCTGCCTGAGGCAGCCCCTGCCCTGGCCACTCTGAGATCAGCCTGCCCTGAAAATTTCAGGGGAAGTGGAATATCTGAGGCTTAGAGTCAAGAATCAGAAAGCCTGGGGGTGCTTGGGCTGGGAGCAAGCTAGACACTCTGGCTCTTAGCCCAGAAGGTGATGAGGTCAAAGAGGTGGAACAGGCTTGGGACCAAGGTCTCCTGGGTCCCTGACCCCAATCCTCTTCCTTCCTGAGTTGAGCCAGAAAGAAGGTAAATGAGGAGGAAGCTGGCAATCAATGGTGACTCATCTCCCACACATGCAGGTGAGGGGTGCTGCTCTGAGTATAGTGAAGCTGGTGCTTCTCCCCTGCCTCTACCTCTGGCCAGGTTCCCTGTCTCCCAGTTCTCCAGATGGAGGCAGAAGAGCTGCTGTGGGCTCAGCAAAATGGGTAGATTTGATTCCCTAACTCCCTAATAAGGTGTGTGTGTGTGTGTAAAAGGCTGGGCTTTGGAGTGTATCCCTCATAAGTCAAAGGGACATTCAAACAATAAAAATCTCAGGGTAAGAGCAAAGGGAAGAGCTGCCTCCCTGCTCTCCCTCCCAGCCTCCAATCCTCAATGGCTAGAACCCTCTTCTCTGGACAGGACAAGGATGGGAGAGGGATTAAGAGTAGCAGATCAGGCACAACAGGGGTGCTGACCCTTCTTCCCCTCCAGGCTGGCTGCCTCTCCCTGATTTGCACTAGAGTCACAGAAGTTGAAAGGGGACTCAGAGGAGGCAATGGTGACTCATCTAGCTCTTCCTGAACTCCCAGGTCATGCCATCTGAGAGTCCCTGTTCTCAACCTTCCTGGGTGACAGAAAGCAGGACCAGATGTGAGGACTGCCCACTGCTCCTCCTCCATCTGTCCCCAGCTTGCACCAGAGAGCGCCCCACTGTTCTTCACTAAAGTGATGGTGACATGACTTACTCCATCTACCCAGGCCTCCCAGAGTCCCCTGCCCTGCCCACTGCTCCTACTCCTATCCATGCCTAGGCCAAGTACCTGCAGCTCTACCTTACCTTTCCCTCTCTGTGCCCATGCTGGGGCCTGTTCAGGCTGCTCAGGGGCTCTTTTGCTGTAGAGACCTGGTACCGGCTGACCACCCACTGATATGCACACCCTCTCCCTGGGTGTCTACACCCTCACCCTGATGCTGTTGTGCAGGAACTGGACCTGGGGTGCCATGGCAGCATGGCTTGGCACTTGCAGTGCCACATCTTCAACAGCCTGGTGGTGAGCAGCTTGGATCACATGGCACTGGATGAGTGTGCAGGAGAGGGTGAGGGTTGCCAGGTCCATGCAATCCAGGCCTCCCTGGATTTCAGGTGGCATGAAGTTTCATTGACCAAGTTCTGTCCCAAAAGTGGCTCTGGGACTTTCAGCATACCCACCTGATGTGGCTTTCCCATCCAGAGCATCTTTCCCTTTGTCCCACCTGGACCTTGCCCACTGTGCCTGAATTTGCAGCCCAGAGTGAGCATGTTGCCTGGGCTATTCCCAGTTCTATCTGGGAGAATGGGAGAGAAAATAGGGAACAAGACTAATTCACTGCCCCAATAATCTTCTATGGGTTCTCTCACATAATCCTCAGGTAATGAGGCCATGAAGTAGGTATTATGTCATCTGAAATTCTTTTCCAGGGCTGGAGATGTGGCTAAAATGGTAGTGCGCTCACCTAGCATGCATGAGGCACTAGGTTAGATTCTCTGCACCATGTAAAAATAAAGAATTTATGTCCACCTAAAATTAAAAATAAATATTAAAAAAAAATCTTTTCCAGAACACATGCTTTGGAAAGTCTTAAAAATCCTAAAATTGGATGCACAGATTTCTTCTACAACAGTGATTCTCAAACTTTGGTTTGTATCAGAATCTGGGTGCTGATTCATCATTCAGAAGTCTAGCTTCCAGCTCTCTCCTGAGAGCCTCTGAGTTCCTTATTGGCCCTCCAGATGATTCTAATGCACACCAAAATTTGAGGAGCACTGTGCTAAAAATTCCCAAATCCCAAAATTTGAGGAGCATTGTGCTAAAAATTCAGAAGGGCCAAACTAATGCGCTAAGATACATAGTAAAGTGGAGGTGCTGACTTACAAGGTAACCCATTCTACTTAGCTCTACTGGCAAATCAGGTCTAGTTCGAAAAATCCTCTCCCTTTGATCCAGAGTACTTGGCATTTACCTAAAAACCTAAAGACTTTCCTATCTCAACTGCTGGTCACATTGCTTCCTGCATGGTTTTTGGTTTTGTTTTCTTTTTGGCAGAAATGGGATTTGAACCTGGCCCTTGCCCATGCTAGGAAGTGCTCTACCACTGAGTTACATCCATAGCTCTTTTTATCTTGAGACAAGGTCTTGCTAAGTTGCTCAGGCTGGCCTCAAACTTGTGATCTTCCTGCCTCAGTTTCCTGAGTCGCAGGGATTACAGGAGTCTGCCAGCACACTCAGCTCCTGTTCAGTAAACCATTGCACAAGACAGGCCATGAAACAGGGCCTTATCTTAGTCCATCCCCTCTCCTCCTCACAGCCATCTGGCTCACCTTTCTCAGGTGCTCACAAAAGCCATAGACTTCAGGGCACAAGACCTCCAGGGACTCTGTGTGACCCATTCCCTTGTGACAACTCCTGGAGGAGCTATTCACATCAGCTCTGAAAACACCTAACTCTTCCCTTCTCGCCCCTGAAGATGCCATGAAGTTAGAAAATACAGCGGAAGCATGACCCAGTCATCAGATAGGGGGCCCCTGGCCAAAAGTCTGTCAATAGGGGCCCAAGAGAACAGCCATCAGCATAGTGGCAACAGGGTGCTGTGGAGCCCTCCCTTAGTCACAGAAGTGTTTCCAGATTGCCATCACTAATGACCCCCACCTTCTGTCATTAGGGCATTCTGAGGCCAACTTCTGTGTTTCATGCCTTGGTGAGATAGCTTTGCAACCACTGCTTATTGACACCAGAGCCACAGGAAGGCAAAATGTATGTCCCAAGACCTCTCAACTTTAGGAGGCAACAGCAGCCTGTGGGGCGGTGTATCTGCCTAGCAGGGAGCAGGGGTGGGGTGGAGGATGGCAAATGGGAGTAGGTCCTGAGGTGCAGGGAATAGTGGGAATTCACTCATTTGCCTTGTGCCCATAGGTGTGTCTCAGCTAATGAGATCACTCGGTTCAGGGCCATACACACCCAGTACTTCCACCTGTGTCCATTCTGCGTTGTTCACCATTACCAGGTTGCAATGGTGCAGCAGCACCTCATAAGGCCTCAATGCCGGTCTTCTACAGCTGAGATGACCTTCTCTGCAATACTGCCCAGCTGCTGGAGCTGCTGGTCACCTGGCACAGACCTGCCACAAAAACAGCTGTGCCAGTATCCCCTTGAGTATTCCAACACCCTCCTCGCCTTCCTGGGAGGACCATCTCCAGTGAGGCTCTGCTTCACCATCAGCCCAGTGGACAAGGGACAGAGACAAGATTTCACAGTCATTAAGACCTGCTCGATTTATTCAGATTATTTAATATATAATTATGCAACTGTGACCCCAAAGTGTGCAAAGTTAAAGCCTTCAACTGCAGCTGAGAGGAGAGGGCAGGGATGGTACACCTGGGGACAGTGGAGAGTCAGGAATGTCCGGCAGGTCTCTTCCCCAGGTTCAGGGAGGGGGGAGTGGCCTGAGGAGCAGGGCCTGGGGTAGCCTCAGGCCAGGGGAAGGGGGCAGAGACCTCCCCCTGGCCTTGATCAGGAGCCCAGAGTGCCACATGGCTGAGGGCAGCAGCCCAGTAAGGGGCCAGAGGCAAGGCCAGGAGAGCACCATTTGCGGGGGAGGGGCACGGAGGGAGATGCCCTACAGGAGAAGCCAGGAGGGGCCACCTGCCCCATGGGTGGGAGCTGGGCCAGAGCAGACTGCAGCAAGAGAGACCTGAGGCAGGCACAGGGCCTGAGAGCCCAGGCTGGCTGGGCTCAGAGGGCTGAAGAAGGGAAACCCCGGGAGCTCCCAGGGCAGCCTGGTCCAGGGAGCATCCTGACTCTGCAGGGGGGTGCCCAGGGAAGGGCCACAGTCCCCTCAGGGCCTCCCCACCTCTCTCCCTGGAAAGGAGCTGGGAACCCATAGTGCAAATCCATGGACCACTCAATTATGGAGGGAAGCTGTGTCTGAAGGGAGACCCTGGGATGTGCCCCCTCCACCACCTCGGCCTCCACCGCTGTCCTCAGTACAGCCGCTTCTCGTAACTGTGGGGACAAAGCAAGAGGGGACAAAGTGGGTGTGTGGACACTGTTCCCTTCCTAAAATCCCCTCACCCTGGAACCCCCAGATTTGGGAAAGGACAGGTTGCTGCAGAGCCCCTGTCTCTGGGTGGGAGGAGGCAGAAGGCAGCCCTGGGCCTCTGTCCTCCCAGGCCAGGCTCCCTGAAGAACTGTGCCAGGTCCAGAGAGAGCCATGCTCCTTACGGCCACTGCCACACCTGAGTGAACTGTCCTCATTTCCTGGGGTGAAGACGCAGCTCAGCCATCCTTACAGAGTGGGTTCTGGCCAAAAGCTGATCTGCTTCCTTGTCTGCGCCCCACCCTTGCACACAGGGTAGCCAGGCTCCTTCTAGTCACTGGGTCCAGTCTAAAATGGGACTGGATCCAGCAGCCTCAGACCTGTGGTCACGGGCATCTCCCTGTACCCCCAAAAGAATCTGAATTTCTGCTGCTGGATGAGAAGGTCATGGATAGCCTCCTCTACCATGGTGCTGGAGCCAGGGGCCAGGAGAGCCAAATCCCAGGGTCCATGTCCCATGGTTCTATCCTGGCACCACCCTCAACCCAGTATCCATCCTCCCAACCCAGGTCCCACCCAGACTGCCCCTGCTCTACTCTACTCTTGGCCCGGGCAGCGCAGTTACTTACACGGCAGAAAGGTATAGCTATGGGAGGGTGGGGCAGAAAGAGACACAGGTTAGATGCCCGCCTATGCCTGAGGAGATGGGCCCTCTTGACCAGGGCGGGCCGCATGCCTGCAACTACTGCTGCCAACCAGCTATGCCTCCACCCACAGTTGCCCCAGCGCCGGCCCTAGCACCTATCTCTCTGCACCTTTCCCCACCAGAGGGCTCATGCCCCCTTCTTCCTGCCTATCTGGGGCCACCACCAGCAAGAGCCTAGCACCACCAGTTCCCTGCCACCAGCCACCAAGCTTCCTGAGCAAGCAAGGGCTGGGGAGCCCAGGTGGGGCTAGCGGCCACACCTCCCGTGCCCTGCTCGGGGAGATGCCCGAGGGGAGGGGAGTCGCCTGGCTGCATAGGGGCTACAGGATAAAGGTTCCAGGGTGGGCTGGGTCCTGTAGGACAGGGCGATGGGTCATCCTGCAACAGCATCCATCCCTGGTATAGGTGGTCCATGGGGCCCCTGGAACCTCAACTTGGCCTTTGAACCCTGGCCCCATGTGCCCAACCCAGTGCCAGCCAGCGAGGCCACCCACTTACGAGTGCAGGCCGTGCACACCACCCTCGATCTGGGCTGACATGGTCCGTTTCTCAAACTTGAGCTCTCCTGAGTACATCATGGACCTGGCAGGCAGGCAGATGAGCAGGTTAGGGTTGCCCAAGTGAAGAGAAAGAAAGGAACAAGATGGGGGGAGCCTCCCAGCCTCCTTCAGTGGCAGTGCTCACCGCAGCACGGACAGGCTCCGGGCCCCGATGTCCTGGCAGCCATGCTGGATCCCTGCTATGAGGTAGGGCACGAACTTCTGAATGGAGCCTTTGTCCTGGATGGAGCCCGAGACACCCTGTGCGATCTTCACCTTATCCCCTTCACTGCAGGGAGGTTGTGGAGGTTGAGGCCAGTAGACGGCTGCTCAAAGGACCCCACCCTAACTCTCCAGGGAACAGGCAGAGGGGATGCCACCCAGAAGGGTCCCACAGCACCCACTCACTAGGCTACAGCAGGGACAAGCACACCCTCTGGGTCAGGTGGCCCAGGTCCTGGTCCTGCATCTGCTACTTATGCCTGTGTCTCGGTTTCCAGAACCATGATATGGGAACAGGTGGCATCTGGGGAGGTCAGGGGCATGTGTGGACCCAAGGACTGCAGGTTGATCTACCAGGGCTGGGGCGGGGGCACATACCTGAAGTATCGTTTCTGGCTGCTGCTGCTCTTCTCCATGGCGTCCAGAGAGCCCATGCCCCGGTACTTCTTGAGCCTCACCCCATCTGAGAAGAAGTACTCACCAGGGGCCTCAGTGGTGGCAGCTAGCAGAGAGCCCATCATCACTGTAAAAGTGAAAGGATCAGTGCCTCCTGCCCCCAAAGCCCTCCTACTGCCCCCACACTCCCAGCCCCTCCCCTCACCTGTGGAGGCTCCAAGGGCTAGGGCCTTGACCACATGTCCCACAGTCTGGATGCCTCCATCTGCTATGACTGGCACACCAAAGCGCCGGGCATACTCAGCCACCTTGTACACAGCGGTGCCCTGGGGCCGGCCACAGGCCATCACTGGGAGAGGGCGGATGCACAGGACAGAAAGGAGTCAGCACAGGGGCCAGGCACAGGATGGGCCAGCCCTTTCTCCTTTGCCTCCCTCCACTCTGGGGAAAGGGATGGAAGTGGATGGTGTTTCTGAGCATAAGGTAGGTGTCAGGAGATAACATCAGAGTGAATGTCACTTCAGGGATCTGAGTCACCCACCCATAATAGCACTACAGGGGATTCAGGTGGGGGGATCAGTACTGGTCTTCAGAGTATAAGCACCCCAGACTGGTGGTCCCCAGCATCATCTACTCTGGAGGCACAAGGTCCCCTCTGAAGTTTTCATTTGCAAAAGCTGTTATTAGAGTTAGGTACTTATGGACACTGGTTCACATTCATTTCTTTAATTGTCCAAGGTCCTTTAGATTTTAAGTGGGAATTCTAACGAACCAGTACTTTGATAGGGGTAGGTTAAAGGCTAGATAAACTAGAAAAGGGGACTTTCATTTGTTTTGTCCTTACTATACTCCAATGCTTAGTGCAGAGTCTGGCATATAGTAGGTGCTCAATCAATATTTGTCAAATGAGAGAGGGCCCATATTTCACCATGTGGTCAGCGAAGGTGAAGGGTAAAAACTTAAAAGGCAAAGGCTCTGAAGACCAAATCATGGAGATATTTGGGGCAGGGAGCACAGAGTGGGTCATTCAGTGCTTTGGAGAAATAACCCTCACAAGAGACCAAGCCAGACCCAACACCTCCAGGCAGTCATCCCACAAATCAGACACCAGCCTCCAAGCAGGACTCTGTCAACTACATGGGCAACATATCAGGGTCTCCTCTTCCCCTCCACATTCAGGAACCTACCCTGCAAAAAGGCTTGTTCCACAAGTGCCTGTGGAGGGGAACTCTCCGTCCCGCTCCTTCAAATGTGGGTTTATACTGTCCCAATTGTTGTGGGACGTGTTGTCTTCACGCCTCTAAGCATCTGCCTTGTCACAAATCCAGTCTGAACCCTCAGATAGCTTCCAACAAGAGCTTTATAAAAGTAAGCACACGGCCCTGGGCCGCAGACGGAGTCTCCTTGACCAGGATCTGAGTAGCAGGTTGGTAGACACCCAAAACTCAGGTTCCCCTCACATACTTGGTCCTCCATGAGTCACCCTATCCCAGGAAGGGCCTGGCAGGGTGGGCACTCCTAGGCACTTGTGGAGCAAGAACTAGAAAGGACCTAGCGGTTACTACTCCCACCATGGACACCCACCTTCTTGGGTGATGCAGATGGAGCCACAGCCCATGCCTACACGTAGCCCATCCACACCAGCATCAATCAGATTCTTGGCCTGGGCTGCTGTCACCACTGGGGGTGGGGAGGAGACAGAGGAAGAGTGTGAGGATGGGATGCCCCTGCCCTGCCCATGGGCTTCCCAGGACCTCTGTCTATCCATCCCCCCAACCTGACCACCTGCACTGACCAAAGCCCATCCTGACCCCTGACCCCCTTATCAGGAGCAATGCCATCCCCTGGGGGTGGAAAAGGACAGAGAAGAGTGAGGAGGTTGGAGCAGGGGATGAGAGGGGAGCCTGCACTCACCATTTCCACCAATCACCTGGAGATGGGGGTACTTCTGTTTGACATAGTGCACCATGGCAATCTGATACACTGAGTTCCCTTGGGATGAGTCCTGGGAGAAACGGGGCAGAAAGCTTAGGCTAGAGAGCTGAGGCTCCTCACTGGGAGAGGAAGACTCTGAATGGATGAACCCCTGAAATTCGTGAAAACTGTTTCAACAGTGCTTGTTCTAGGCGAAGTGGAGTGGCGCACACTTATAATCCCAGCGGCTCGGGAGGCTGAGGCAGGAGGATCACAAGTTCAAAGCCAGCCTCAGCAAAAGTGAGGTGCTGAGCAACTCAGTGAGACCCTGTCTCTAAATAAAACACAAAATAGGGCTATGGATGTGGCTCCGTGGTTGAGGGCCCTTGAGTTCAATCCCTGGTACCAAAACCCAAACCAAAACAAACAAAGAGACAACAACAACAACAAAAAACAGTGCTAATTCTGTTTCTCCTGAATTAACTGAAGAGTCACTTGACAAGTTTTGGCTGATCCTTAAAAGGACCAGCTTTCCCAGAATATTAAACAACACTGAGTCTTCAGTAGAGACACAGCCTTTTCCTATGCCTCCCCTATCCCCCTGTACAAGTACGTCCTCATGGACGGGAGATACTATCTGGGCCTGCTATAGTTTGGATCTTGAATTCCCAAAATGACCACATGTTGAAGACTTAGACCCCAGTCGATAGCACTATTGGGAAGTAATTGAACCTTGAAGAGGAGGAGCCTGGTGAGGGAAGTTAGGCCACCGGGGATACTGGCCCCTCCCTTTCCTTTATCTCTTTGCTTCCTGGCCTTCACCACATTCTCCCACCAAGATGTACTATATTACCATAGGGCCCAAAACACGGCCAAGCAGACTGAAACCTTGAAAAAGCCTTTTAAGTTGATTATGTCGGGTATCTCGTCACAGTAATGGAAACATAAGCTGCATGTTAGTCCCTAACCAGTAATGTTAATCCCTACCAACCAAAAGAAATTACTTAGCTGCCTTTTTTTTTCTTTTTTGTGGTACTGGGCATTGAACCAAGGTGTATTTAACCTATACCCCCAAACCTAATTTTTATTTTATCTTTGAGATAGGGCCTTGCTAACTTGCAGAGGCTGTCCTTGAATTTGCAATCCTCCTGCCTCAGCCTCCTGAGTTGCTAGAATTACAGGTATGTGCCATGGTGCCTGGCACTTAAGTGCTCTGAGCCTTGGTTTCTTCATCTAACAATTGAGAATGGTAGTTGTACTTTAAAGTGCATTGCAAAGATTAAATGAGCAAATATGAAAAAAGATAAGATTTTAGCTCAGTGTCTCGCTAACAAGGGTAGGAAGCTCTCAGTAAATGTGAGCTATAGTTATTAGGGTTTACTTATGCATGAGGAAGTCTCTCAGGCGGCCCACCATTGTTTTGGGATCCACAGAAAGCCTGTGACCCTCAGAATTCTGACACTAAGGAGTGTGCAGAGTTAAGAAGAAGAACAGTGAAGGAGGGTCAAGGCTAAATGAGAGGTGAATGTGGAGACATAGAAGCATCAACTCTGGGGAGCCACTAGCCTCCTTACTAGCACAATGACGTCGGCTCCCGCCTGGGTGAGCAGGTCCAGGCGGTATTTGTCGTCCTCACGGGTGCCCACAGCTGCCCCACATAGCAGCTGCTTGTGGGAGTCCTTAGAAGCCAAAGGGTAGTCTCGGTTCTTCTTCAGGTCGGTGCGGGCAATAATGGCCACCAGCTCGTCACGATCATTAACAATAGGCAGCTTCCCTGGCCAGGAAGGCAGAGGTAAGTTGAAGAAGCAGACTTTGGGGTGGGCAGGGGGACTGGGTGATGTGTGTTTGGGGGTAAAGAGAAAAATGGACCATGCCAAAGATTCCACTTAAGTACCGAAACCTGCCACTAGGTGACAGCACCCACCCAGGAAGTGTTCCTAAGAATCTGAATCTCTTCCCAAGGCACAGGAAGCAAAGAAACTTAGGGAGCAGGTTCCTAGAGCTTTTTATGTCCTGTGGTCTGTTAGGGGTGAGAGGGACAGCCCCTAAGCAGTGGTCACAAGCCAGGGCATAAATATGACGCTGTTTTGGAGGGGACACATGCCCTGCCCAATACAAACTCCAAAGAACTCTCTGGTATGGGCCAAATAAAGATTAGCCTATAGGAATCTAGTGAATATTATATAAACAGCTCCAATATCAAATTTAACTGCAGGACTTCTCAGAGCCTTGAATGAGCCAATATGTAATTCTCTATGCAAGAAATGGAATATAGGAAACAGTATTTCTCAAACTTTTGAGGCCAAAGAGCCCTTATTATGTGATGAGCACCTCACAGAACTAGCTTTGAGAAACATACTGTGAAGATGCTGAATTCAGAACAGGTTTCCCTAAGCCAGGAGGATATCAGGATTCATGTTCCAGTCTGCCTGGGGCTACTCGAACCTTCCCCAAGGCCCAATGTGGTTGCTGCGAGGCTATAGAGGAACAGGGAGATCTAAGGTACAGGCAGTCATGCTGGGAGTGGAGTTTTCTGCCCATTCCCCAGTACCTTTCTTGCTGCGCTGCAGGATCTCATTTGCCTCTTTCAATGTTACACCTGCTGGAGCTACCACCAGCTCAATCCGTGGTGTCATTACCTGTGGGGCCAGGAATATTTGCCTGCAGGTTGGCAGGTGAAAGAGAAGGAGCCAGACCTCCCTCTGGTCCCTCGTCACAGGCACTAGCCTGGGGCCCCGGGGTATGGAACCCTCTCTGCACCCCAGCCCCAACAGCCCTGCCCTGCTGGCACCTCACTGAGCAGGGTGGTGTGGTCCTTCTCAGCCAGGAAGTCAATGTCTCTGGAGGTGACGATGCCCACCAGCTTGCTGCCCATGGTGCCTGTTGCGGTGATGGGGATGCCAGAGAAGCCATGCCGGATCTTGGCCTCCAGCACATCGCCCACAGTGTTCGAGGGGCTCAGCACCACAGGGTCTGTGATGAAGCCCTGCTCAAACTTCTGTGGGCAAGAGGGGAAGGAGAAGGCTGAAAGAAATCCAGGGGTGATGTGCAGCCTAGTCACGGGGTAGTGAATCGGCCCTGGCTGTGCCACAGAGAAGCCAGGGACCTCAATAGGTTGGGGGAGTATAGTGGGAAAATGAGGACTCATTTTGTCTCCACTGAGAGGAAGGAAAGCCAGGACCCCACAGCAGTCAACCAGGGAAAGCAGCAGCCTGCAGGGCTGCAGGGAGGGTGGGATGGCCTGCAGGGTAGGGCCTGCCAAGTGGCATCTTTCTGGGGTGGGGCCTGGTACTTGCCTTGACCTTCCGCACCTCATTGGCCTGGAACTCTGGGGTGCAGTTGTGGTGAATGAAACCAATTCCTCCCATCAGCTGGGGTGGAAGGAAAGTGTGATCAGAGCCGTGACTAACCTCCCTCTGCCCGGCCCCTCAGCACAGCCCATCCTGTTCCGTTCCCTCTGCCTAGGGTCCCCATGCAGGCATAAAACTCACAGCCATTGCAATGGCCATGTCGGCCTCTGTCACAGTATCCATGGGCGAGGATGTCAGGGGTGTCTTTAGTGTGATCTTCCTGGTTAGGGCTGATGTTAGGTCCTGAGGATGGAGGCACAGTCCATTAAAGGATTTTATCAGCCAACACTCACCAGCACCTACATATATCCTGCATCAGGACAGGCCCTGGGGAAACTGCAGTGAGCAAAGCAGCTCTCATGAAACTGACATTCTACTTGGAAAGGAAGATAACAGACATGAAACACACGGACAAGATGACTTCCATCAGGAAGAAGGCTATAAAGAAAAACAATAGAGCCAAGTGACCACTGGGAGCACGTGGTGACTGAAGTCTGGGTGACAAGGGTTGAGGTAGAGGGAGGGACATGAAGGTATCTATTAGCACTGGAAAGTGAGTGCCTAAGGGTCTAGAGCTCAAGAAAGACGTCAGGATTGCAAAGAAGTCAGGGATAGGCACTGCTGGTCCAAATCCCAAATCCTCCAAAATCCAAAACTTTCTGAGCACCAGAATGATAATACAAAATTCCACACCTGACCTCATGGGACAAGTTATAGTCAAAATGCAGGCATGCTAAAAATAGCACATAAAATTATTTCAGGCTATATGTATGAGATGTATATGAAACATGAATTTCTGGTGTGGACTTGGGCCCCACCTCAAAATATCTTATTACATATATGCAAATATTATAATTTTCAAAAAAAAATCTGAAATCTGAAACACTTCTGGTCCTGATCATTTTGGATAGGGGACACTCGTGCAGATTGGGGAGTCTGTCTGCCTATAAAGGTGTTTAAGGCCAGATCATAGATCACTCTGAGATTCAAGTCAACAGCTACCCCCAGTCCCAGTTCCCCAAGCTGCCAGACACAGACTGTCATTTCTGAGATTCACAGACCCCTTAGGTCCATCACAGACCCTGGGCCAGAACCCTGGCCCCACAGCCTAGAAAATGTCATCTTCTCCTCTCCTATCATGCCACAGGAGAAAAGCTACAACCTTCCTGGCAAGGAAAGGGAGACCCTAAATAACTAGGCAAGAGGATCTTTTTGGTCCTTCTTTCCCTAGCAGCCAGCTCAGGGTCTGCAGTATTGGGGCTTAAACCCAGGAGTGCTCTATCAACATGGTACACCCCCAGACATTTTTATTTTTATTTTTTTTTGAGACAGAATCTCTCTAAAAGCCCTGTCTGGGCTTAAGCTTGAAATCCGCCTGCTACAACCTCCCAAGTTGCTGGGATTATAAGCATGTACCACCACGCCCAGTAGGAAACTATGTTAAACTGAACAGCTGGATCAACAAGGCTTCCTGGTTGCTGTCATAAAAGAAATCTCCAAAATAGCCCACATGTTCCCCTAATAATCTGTCTGGGTCAGCTCTGGCTACTCACAGGCTTGATATTAGCTTTGCCAACACATAAATGATCTAGGCTCAGGTGCTCTGGCCTTTCATGAGAATCAGACCAGAATAAAGAGCAATAATAAAAGCAATAGAAATGGCTTTTTTTATTGGTGCATTATAATTATATGCAATAGTGGGATTTATTTTGCCATATTTGTATATGTGTGTGATATAATTTAATAAACCTCATTCCCCAATATCTTCCCTTTCCTGCTTCTCCTCTTCCCCTTTTTAAAAGGTGCATGAATCCATCATAGAACACTAAACTTTCATGAACTAATCTATACCATCCTCATTACCTCTCTTGGCTTCTCTGAATTGATCATATATTAACTATTCATTGCTTTGGCTCATTGCTCAGCCCCTTGTGGAAAGTAAGCCATATATTTCCTCATATTTGTCTCAAATCCTACTTTTTCAAACCTTCTTACCAGTTCTTTTCCAAGGAAGGATCAGTGAATGATCACTGAACACAATATTCCAAGTGTGTATAATTTTACTGGGCTTCCTCCCTGTCCTTGCTCAGCATTTCAAACAACGTGCAGTCCTTATGGTCTACATAATAAGGCAGCCACGCCCAATCCCTTCTGTCCCAAGGCCTTTTCTGAACCTTCTCCCAAGCTCTGTCAGTGATGGAGCATACTCTGGACCCATGCCAGGTCCCTACTCAGCACTTCCCAGAACCCCCCAGCTGCCTCTGTCCCACCAGGCAAAACACTGCCCTGTGCCAGTTCCTCTGGCAACAATAAATGCTATACCCACCACATTCCCAAGAAATGTCTCTCCCACACCTTTCCTTGAGCAAGATGTCAGTGTCCTCTATCACACAGCCAGCCTTTCCCCAACCAAATGAAGAGGGACTCACCACCTCATCAGCTATGAAGTCTATGAATCCCGGGAGGATCAAGAAGTCGCTGGAAAGACAGAAAGCGAGTGTTACTGATGGGCATGGGTACCCAAAAGACGCAGGGCCTGCCATGCCAGGGGAGGCATCATGGGGATGTGGAAAAGGCCAGAGAAGCTGAGGCTGGAGCCCCCTGATCCCTATTGTCCCACTGCTACAAACCTTCTTTATTCCCCTCACTAGTGTCTTGCTGACTCCAGCTCCAAGAGCTAGAGCCAAAGATGTCAGGTCTGTGGATCTGGGTGCCACTAAGGTAGATGGCCTACAATATTCATTGCCTTCAGGTCTCAGTGGATATTGTGAGAACATAGAAGTACCCATATGGCCACAGAAACCAGATACAGTACCTGCCCTTGAAAACCTCAGTGTTGATGGGGCAGATAGTAAATCAACAAAAGAAAACAACCTGAGAACAATTTTGTAGTGCAACATGACATGAAAGTGACCCAGCATAGGACAAATTGCACACTCTAATGCCAGGGCTGCTGAGTCACCCAAGGTTCAAAGCAGCATGGAGGGACCTCAGGGGATTGAGTTCTAACATAGCAGATGCTAGGCCAGAAGCAACCAACAGACATGACCGTGGTTGGGAAGGGGAGCAAGGAAGCCTGACAGGAACAGCCAAAGTTGGCAGCTGTCAACTCTAGAGTAGGCCACGATCACAGAGAAGTCCAAAGGGGGAGTGCAGGCCTGTATGGGTATGTCTAGGTGCAGTGCCACAGCCCCAGGTCCCCAGCAGGCTCAACCTGCCTGGAATCACAGCAGGCCTTGACAGACACACCCAAAAACAAATGTCCGTCCCACACTTCAGAGCACTCTGAACCCTAACAAGCAAAGTAACAGATGCCTCCAGTGCAGGAAGGAAAAGTCTTTAGGGCGGATGGGAGTGGGTGGTTAATATGCCCCAAGGCCTAGAGAAACTCCTATTAGTTCCCCTAGGGAGTTCCCCTAGGAAACTCCAGTGAAAAACCTATTAAGGTTACTCCCTCTATCCCATCACCAAAACCATTACAGAAACAGAATTTATGTTGCCCCCTGCCCCTTGGCAGCCCTTCTTTTGTATAATAAGACCTTTAAGTGAGACAGAATCTGGGCCTTTTGGTATTCTATACTCCTCTCCCTATGGGCAGGCAAGGGGGGACCCTCCCCAGGAATGACAGTGTATCCTGGTTTTTAGGGAAACTGCCTGCCAAGTAGGAATGCTTACCATCCAGACTAGAGATGGCAGGGGGCAGTCCAAGGATACTGTTGGGTCACCAGCATCCTCACTCTGCCCCAGTCCAGAGTTCTGATGCTCATTCCTGGCAGAGACATAGACCTGCAGCCAGGAGGCATGGTTAGTGCCAGGCCTGCAGCTGGCAGGACAACTAGCTCAGGGCCAGAGTAGATCTCCATCCTCCTCCAAAATCCTATGTGTGGTGGGTTTTGGAGTGGTAGTCACAAAATACTCATGCAAAGGGATACCAGTGCCAACCTGTGGACAGGCAGGGGCACAAGTGGAAGGCTGGACTGGATGGTGGAAAAAAGGAGTCGACCCCCTGCCCAGCCGGGCTTCTCCTGGGGGCAATATTCAAGCAGCTGCCCAAGCTGGCTTCAGGAACCACTTTGCTCTCCAGGAGAAGCTAGGAGGGAAAGGGCATCCTGGTCCAAGGTCTGCTTGAAGTCTCCCCAAAACTCCCACACCCCGCTTTCCGACACATCCCAAGGCCCTTCCAGGCGGCCAAGATGCCCAAGAGAGGAGGAAGAGGGCCCAGATTCACCCGGATCTGGCCAGAAACGGGTCAAGGCACAGAGGGCCGTGATGTTGCTGTGCCACGTCCGTCTGCTCTCGGCACGGGCCTCCTTCCTTCCCAGGCCCTGCCCCCACAGCTGGCACCAAGTCACTCTTGCTGGGCCGGGGCAAGCGGGCGTCAGGAAGGGGCAGCCGTGCACGTGTGGGGCCGGGGGCTACAGTGCCGCGGTGCGCGCTCGCAGGTAAGGCCGAGCCCCAAGCTTACTTGTAGGTGAGGCCATCTGCGTTGGCGAAGAGCTGCTGCGCGGTGAGCCCATCCTCTGGCACGTAGCCGGTGCCGCCGCTGATCAGGTAGTCCGCCATGCTGCCGGGAGACACCGCGACCCAACATAAACACCCTCGCGGGCCGCCCCGCTGCTGCCACCGCCACTGCCGCCGCTGCTACTGCTGACGCGCACCGCGGCCACGCTGCTGCCGCGAGCCGGGCGAGTCAGGGGCGGGGGTTAAGGCTGCAGTGGGCGGCCCGGGCGCCGCCCTCTCCTCTCGCCCCTCCCTCGAGGACCGCTGCCTCCGCCCCGCGCCGCACAAAGGGCAAAGACCGAACGGCTCAGCCGCCGCGGAACACCACGCGCACGCCCTGGACGCCTGCAGTGGCACAGCGACCCAGCCTGCCGAGACAGGGCAGAAGGATGTAGGACCTGCCAGGAAAGGGACCGTGGCAGGCCAGGACACGCCCCCTTTGTCACCTTTTCAGGCTCCTCCCAGGACCCCAGCTGCGTGCCAGGCCTAGATCCCCCTGGCCACTGGGATCTGCTGGCCTGTCTCCAGTTGCCAACCTCAGGGGTACCTACCTCTAACGTGGTTCTTCTTTTCCCTAATACTAATCTCCGCACCCTGATCAAGGCCTGGATCCCTGAGTACTCATCTGGGCTCACCTGTCCCTAAGCCACAGGAGGTAGAACTTGGACCACTACCCCAAGCCCTACATTATTCCTAGGGGGTGGGAATTTAATGACACTCTCTGACCTTTGGCAGCCTCAGAGCCCTCTGCAGTCTACAAAGCATTTTTCACAAATGACCACATTTACTCCATAATCTGTTAATTGCCAATATTAGATCCCCCCACTTATAAAAGCAAAACCTACAGTTTGGAAAGAGAGGAGCTTTTGACTCCTGGTTCAAGGCCTCATTTTGGCGGTCTTATCTCAGCTCAGAAAATGGTGTAGAAACCAGGGCGTTTGGCCCCAGAGAGGACAGTTTGTTTTTATTTGGGAGGGTAGTGTGGTGGGAAGATGGGGGAGGTTCACAGGCCTGTGTTAGACAAGTAAGTATGCATAAAAATCAGGACAGAGGCTAGGGAACTTTTGAAAATATCCCAGAGCAAGAAGTTTTAATGGCCCGGGTGCCCAGGATGACAAAAATTTCTACCTGGGGGGCAGTAAGATTAGGTAGCAAATTGACTTGGGGGGGACAGGTGATCAGAACTGCTAATGCTATTCCCTGTGCCCACCCCCACAATGGTCTCCTCCCTTTGCTCTCCTATGGTTTCCATAGCTCGCTTCTGATGAGGTAACAGAATGAGTTAGACTGGACTCAATCCTTTCCCTAGCATGGGGGCTGTCTGTGGCACTGGCTCCCTCCCTCCTCAGCCTTGGAGGCTGAGTTTGTTTACCTCTCAACTGTGTGGTGGCAGCCAGGCCCAGGGGAGTTTTGACTTCCAAGCCACGAGGCTCCCTGGGATGCCCCCCTCCCAACTCCACCAGAAAAACAGACTGTTCCATCCATGCACAGAGGGGAGGGGAGACTTCCTGTGGAGTCCAGAGTGCTAGAGGAGACTCACAGATGTCCTCTTGACTCCTGTGGGGGGTAGGGACACCACCACCCTCAAGTTTCCCTCCCTCATTGGGGCTCCATATGGGGGGCCTTTGAATGCCCTCTGACATCAAAGAAAAGAAGAAAGGGATCACTGGGGTTCTCACTGAGCCAGAGCTCTAGCCAGCTTTCCAGAAATGACTGGAAAACACCTCACTGAGATCACCATCCAGAGATCTATTGGGGAGGGGGAGTTTGGTCATATGGAGGGGATCCTGGGGGGTCTGTCACTAGGACTCCTTACTGGCTATTTGGGGCAGAAGCAGTGAGACCAATCAGAGAGAGAGAGAGAGCACCCTGGCCATTCAGAGCAGCCTTTTCTGGCCATAGAACTGGGCCATCATGCCAATTGTAGTTCAGAGCACAGTGGTCTCTAAAGGACCTTCTGTGGCTCACTAACCCCTAGGAATAGCAAGGGTACTATGCAGGGTTTGACCAGGGCTGGGGCCCAGGAGAGCAGCTGGGTTCTGCTGTCTCAGGCCATCTTAATGTGACATCTACCCCAGTCTAGGAAACTGGGATCCAGGGGAGGAGGCTGCCAGGCTGAATTGTGTGTGTGGGGTCACCTTCCTAGTGATTACAGACTTCATGGACCCTTACCCCTCCTGCTCTGACCTGTGTCAGGGCTCCTCATTATTCTAAGCTGCTGGGCTCAGCCCTGGGTTAGGCTGTCCTTTTCCAGAGACTTAATCCATTGCCTTCCCCACCCCTTCACTCCTCCCTGTTCCTGATCTTCCCCAGCTGCTTCCTCCATGGGGAGGAGACACCAAGGCAACCAGTGGGCCTCCTTAGCCTGAAGAAGGGCTGCTGGTCCCCTGAGACTCCCCATGTAGCAGCTTCAAGGGTAGTAGGGGCAGTTCTAAACCCCTTCATCAGGGGTAGGGGACTAGTACCCAGCAGGGTACTGAGGTTCAGGTGGGGAGCCCAGAGATCTCTATCTGATCTGGGGCTGTTTGAAGGAACAAGATTTCAAAACACTTTTAGGGGAGAAAAACTTGGGCACAGCTTGCCCAAGTTCGAGCCAGGGAGCAGTAACACTGGACTCAAGCCCAGGACTTCTCATGGAACCTGGCCTCTTCTTCACAGCTCCAGGTGGGTGAAGGCAGAAGTAGGTCTAGCCAGCAGGTTTTGAATCTCATTACACCACCTGGCTGGGGCTCAGGTTTTATACAAGCTCTTGGGAGCCTAAGTTGGGGGGTGGGGTGGAGGGAAGGAATGTACCTTCCATGCAACAGTACATCTGGAGAAGGGATGTTCTTGAGTGGCTCCAAGCCTGAGCTCTGAAATGACACTTTTTCTAGTACCTGCTCTATCCAAGATACTGCCTTCAACAAGCCCCAAATCATCCCAGCCTACTTCCTCCCCAACTGTGGTCTCTCCCTGTCATCTTGAGTCCTCCCAACTTACTCCTTCCCCGACTGTGCTTCTTCCCCTGTCATCCTGAACCCTGAGCCCCAAGCAGCTGGATTCCTAGCATAGAGGGAAGGACAGGGTGTGCCTAAGCCTACATCAATTCTAGAGAGACAGCCTGCAGGGACAGGTGGGACCCGGCTTCCAAGCCTCTTAAGCCGTTAAAAGTTCTTACATAAGCAGCTAGCCCCTGGGCAGAGCTACCGGACTAATTCCCCAGACCACCCCCCCCTCCCCAAATCCAGTTGCCAGGTCACCACCTCCCCAAGCTGCTGAGCACCAGCAGATGGGGCAGAGAAAGATATCCAAATCCTCTGGACCGGAAGGACAGTGGGATTGCATTTCAAGCTGCGGTACAATCCAGAGATTAGCCGCTGTCTCCTTTCCAGCCAGTTCCACTGGGACCTAGCTCATTGCCCCCACTTTCCTCCAGTCACCCTCATTCCCTTCCAGATCCCAGCATGGGGTCCCGAGTCTTAGGAGATGAGCCGGACCGGCAGCCTCAAAGGACATGGCGAGGTGGGGCCAGTGTCTTCACCTGGCCCTGGGGAGGCGCTCCATGCGGACACGCACACCGGCCAGTAAGACTACTGAAGGTAGTTCTAGGAGCAAACAGCTGAGGTGGAGGAAGCAAAGTTGGACAGGAACTCCAACAAACCACGGTTTGAACACCAGGAGTTGGAACCACTTGGACCCGGTGTCGTCGGGTGTGTAGTTGAGGTCTGATCCAGGGCTAAGATTTCAGGGAATGTTTTAACGACCTACTCTCCCTCTCCTGTTCCTTGGAGCAACGCAGCGCCTAACCCGTTGCACAGTGCCTTCCGGCATCCCCGAGCCTGAGCGGTGTGCGTGGCTGCAGAACCGCGTCGCGGGAAGTTAGGGGTGGAGGCGTTGGAGGGAAGGGAGTGTGGGCCTGCCCCTCCCCTCCCCCGCTGCGCGCGGGGTTCCCGGAGCCACCGCGCCCTCCTAGGCCGCCCGCCCCGGATGCGCCCCGCGCGCCCTGCCCTGGGCGTCACCTCTCGGGCTCGTAGCCGGCCTGCAGCAGGCGGGCGCTGTACCGCTGCGCTGCTGTCTCGTGTCCCGGGTGTTGCCGGGCTCCAGGCTCCAGAACAGCGGTGGCTCCGCCTCCCTGCAGCGGCTGCGGGAGCAGCCCAGACTCCGGTGGTAAACCAAGCGGCCCCTCCATGCGGAGGCCGTGGCTCAGGGCGGCCGAAGCCTCTCCGCCTGGAGGCTCCCCGGCCCCGGCAGGGCTGTGAGCGCACCAGTCGGGGCCCGGGGAGGGGGCGGGGCCGCCGAGGCGGGGTCTGTGTGCCTGGGGCGGGTTCTGAGCGCCGGGGGCGGGGTTCCGGGAGTTGACTGGAGCCCGCTCTTGGCACCCGGCTCTGCCGTGCCCCTCTGGGCGGTTCCTCAAACTCACCCTCTTTCTCATCCCGATGTAGGTGAGGGTACATCGGGAGGTCTATGTGGGCGTGTGTCCTCCAAGGGTGGAACAGTAACCTCGCATCTTCCCGGTCGTCTGGACCTCCTATTTTCTCATAGTCCCTTCTGAAGGAAACCAGCAAGAAAAAGAAGCGCAGAGGCAGGGGTCCTCCGCAATCTTTTGCCTTCTAAGGACAATGTTCTCTGGAGCGCCTTCTACCGGTCGGCCGCAGACCTCCCACGCTAAGGCAGAAGTTGGGACACTACCCATTTATCTCCCTCTGCCTACTCAACAGATCCCAACTTAGATGGAAAGAAAAGAGATTTTTCCACAAAAGAGGTTTACCACTGCTTGAGGAAGGAATAAACATGCTGAAAACTCTTTAAGGGAAAGACCTTAATCTTGTCTTGCTTGAGGTACCCCATAATAAGGGAGTGGGGCTGACAGCATAAAGGTGCTCAAATTTGTTCATCCGCTGAGTAGGATGAACACCGTTTTCCATTACTCTTCGTTACCATTGTCAACAGTGATTGAGCAGCTCTCAGAGATGGCAAGAAAGGTAAGAGTCTCTGCTCTTAAGCAATTAGAGGAGATAGAATAGATAGAAAATAAACAGTTTTTTTTTTGAACCCAGGTTGACATAGCCACTGAGCTACATCCCCAACCCTTTTTTATTTTGAGACAGGGTTCTCCCCCCACCCTCACCGCCGCTAAATTGCTGAGGCTGGCTTTGAACTTGTCATCCTCCTTGCTTCAGCCTCCTAGAGGCGCTGGGATTATAGGTGTGCACCCAGTTTGACAAATCTTATATTGTATACTTTTCTAAAGATCGACAATTGGAGGAAAGAAATGTTAAACACAGGGGAATAATAAGATGCATTTCAAGAAAGCAAAACTGTGGCTCACTTTTTAATACGTTCAGAAAAGAAATTATATTTATACAACAATTAAATTTTGGACTTTATCCTTCTCAGTATCTTTTCCTATACTCCCCCAAATCAGGATTAAAACAGTTTCTGTGATTCACAGCCACATGTGAAATCTTGTCCCTATAATGCCATTATAGACAAGATTTTGTATAACAAGTTCATTTCTATGTCCCTGCAGATCTCTTAAAGAGGCAAAGATGAACTAAATTGTACAGAATTCTGGTCCCGATTAATGAAACAATCATTCTGGATGCAAAGCAAGCCAATACATAGGTTTATGACCATAAACAGGAGACTACCAGGCAGACTACACTAGTCCCTGTGGGGTCCAAATCTGGACTTCTTACTAAATAAACACCTAAGTCACAAACTCTGAGCTTCAATTTCCCCATCTTTCAAGTTCAGTCAACACTACCTATCCCATAAAGTTGGTTTTTGATGAGTGGGCAAGCACATGTAAAGTTACTGATTGCATAGAAGACTCTAAATAAATGGATAATCAAGTAATGATTATTGTAAATGAAGTAAGCTGTAGCTAAATTCTATACTTTTGAATTGAAAGTTTAAATACAATATGTTACCATTTCTACTATATATTTATTCAACATGTGTGTATTGGGCACCTAGCATGTGCCTACTAGAGGCTGGGAGTCTTATGATGAACAATATGGTCATTGTCTCTGCTGTCATGGCCCTTCAAGTTCAGTGGGGCAGAGATGGGAAGGCAATTAGAACACAACATGAGGAAAGTTCTGACCAAGAAGGGCACCCCTCCACACAGCCCAGATGCCTGGGCAATGCACAGAGCCAGATATTCTAGAAAGAAATGAGTTTACACCACTTTTTTTTTTAAAGAGAGAGAGAGAGAGAGAGAGAGAGAGAGAGTTAGTTTTAATATTTATTTTTTAGTTTTTGGTGGACAAAACATCTTTATTTTATTTTTATGTGGTGCTGAGGGTCGAATCCAGCACACCCTGCGCATGCTAGGCGAGCGCATTACCACTTGAGCCACATCCCCAGCCCAGTTTACACCACTTCTAAGGCTCCTGCAAGCAGGCAGACTATACTAAATAAATGAATAATGACATGCAGTGAGCAGGCAGGTGTAGTGACTGAGACTGGCACTCACAATAGAGTGGCTCTGTCTTATCTCCAGAGCTTGTTGGCTACAAATGAGATTTCCTAGCAAACTATTCATTAAAATAATCACATTAAATAGAATAGCCTGAGGGCTTCAGCATTTCATAGGAAGGAGTTTTACTTATAATAATGTCTAGACCAGTAGTTCTTTGCAGAACATTTAGTAATTCTATAGATATCTTGGTACTGGGGATTTAACCCAGGGTCTTGCACACTGAGCTACATATAGAGCCCTTTAAAAAAATATTTATTTTTTTAGTTGTGGTTGGACACAATACCTTTGTTTTATTTATTTTTATGTGGTGCTGAGGATCTAACCCAGGGCCTTGCAAGTGCAAGGTGAGTGCTCTACTGCTGAGCCACAACCCCAGGCCCAGTTTTTTTTTTTTTTTTTTTTAGATACAGAGTCTCACTAAGTTGCCTTGAATGTGTAGTTCTCATGTGTCAGGCTCCCAAGTAGCTGGATTACAGGTGTGTATCACTGCATCCAGCTCAGAAGTTGCTGTTTGATATTAAAACTCAGGTGCTTCTTTTCAGTTTAGGGTTATCCTCATTTCCCTTGCTAACCACATAGTTTTTGTTTGTTTGTTTTTGTACTACTGGGGATCAAATTCAGGGTCTAGTTCATGGTAGGTAAGCACTCTACCACTGAGCTCCATCCCTACTCTATCTGATGGCTATGATCAAGGAGGGAGGGGATATGTTATTGGCATCTAGTGGGTAGAGGCCGGGATGCTGCTGCTAGATATCTGCAAGTCCCAGGACAGCCCTTCAAAATCAAGAAGTACTCAGCCCAAATAACACTAATGCTGAGTGAAGAAATCCTCATCTGGAGGAACTATTGGAAGAAACTAGAGCCAAAGCTATACTGCTTAACATTCCTAAAGATGTCTGAACAATGGACCGTTTCAATCTTTCATCCAAGAAAGAGCTATGAAGGCCAGGCACAGTGGTGCATCCCTTCTATCCCAGTGACTCTAGAAGTTGAGGCAGGAATGCAAATTTGAGGTCAGTCTCAGCAATTTGGGGAGACCCTCAGAAACTTAGCAAGACTATCTCAAAATTTAAAAAAAAAATTAAAAGGGCTAGGGTATATCTCAGTGGCAAAGTGCCCCTGAGTTCAATCCCTAGAACCAAAAAAGTGAGAAAGAAAGAAAGCTATACTATCCTTACTGAGCCTCAGTTTTCTTATCTGAAAAATGAGAGTATGGGATTAGATGGGGTATAAAGCACTTTCCAGCAGCACCCCTGGCCAATAGATGCCCATAACATATATATGTTATAACATAACATAACCCGCTAGATGCCAATAACATATCCCCTCCCTCCTTGATTATGGCCATCAGATAGGGCACTGGGTTCGATCCTTAGCACCACATACAAAAATAAGCAAATAAAATAAAGTCGTGCTGCCCATCTACAACTACAAAAACAATTTTTAAAAAAGGTCTGGGGATGTGGCTTATTGGTTAAGTATCTCTGGGTTCAATCTCCAATACCCCAATAGCAAAAGAAAAAAAAAGCCAGGAGTATAGAATGTTTGCCCAGCATTTGTGAAGTCTTTGATTCAATCTCCAGTACAAAAAAAAAGAAAGAAAGAAAGAAAAGAAAAACATAATAATGTTGAATAGTCATCCTCAATTGGGGGAAACTTTGCCACCTGGATTCATTTGGTCCTCTCTGAAGATATTTTTGTTGCCACAGCTACAGAGTTACAGGATACTGCTAGCATCTAGTGAGCAGAGGTCAAGGATGCTGCAGAGCATTCTGAAATACAGAAGGTAACCCCCACTGCAAAGAATTATCCAGCTCATGGTGTCAATAGTGCTAGGGTTTGGGAATCCTAATAAAAGAATTACATTGTTCATTTGGTAATGCCAACTATAGGCATTATAGAAGCTAGGAGAAGAGACCCAACACTCTATCAGCTGGAGTAGTTAGAGGAGGTTTCATAGAGAGAAAAGGACAGGACTGAGTCTTCAGAGGAGAGTTAGGATTTGGAAGAGAGGGGGCCTGAAGAGGACATTCCAAGGAGGAAAGTGGAGAGTGCCATGTGAAGGAATCCAGCAAATTTCTGGGAGCAATGAGCAGGTCATCCTGGATGAGGCATGGTCTCCACTCCAAAGCTGGAAGGTTGGGTCAGGAAGGTATTGTTGTCACCATGTGACAGATGGGGTAACCGATGCACAGAAAGCTTGAGAGAGGATCCTGTGGTCATTCCTGAGCTGAGACTAGATGCCAGTCTACCTGCCTTGCTCCAGTGTCATCTACCTCCCCATGAGTCATGAGCTCACTTTGCACTGCTGCCATCAGTTGCCAAATGAAACCTTCAGAGTCATCACTCAAATCGGAGCTTCTTTCTGTCCTGAGTGCGTTTGTATCCTGGAATATCAGTATCTCTTTAAG